TTAAAAAAATACTTCAGCATCCAGCATCTAAAACTGAAGACCATCTAGACACTGAATAATAATCTGTTCGGTCTTTTTGTTTAACACTTCAACCAAATAAATACCATAAGAAGTACTTTTTTATGCATTTACTGCGATAATCTGTATTTGCAAGTACTTGTATAGGAACTCGTTTGTGAAATTGACTTGATCCAAAAATGAGCATGGGGTCATCCTTTCAGAATGTATGTCCTTCATCGTAATATATATAATGAGAATACACTCAAATAATGTAATAAATGTTCAGTAACATCCTTAGTATGCATTATTTTTCAAATGACGGATTTTTTTTTCAGAGTCACAATCATTCAATGTTAATTTCAGTACAAATAATGAAAATGCAAGCGATTTTGCTTGAACAATAACTTCTGATTAATTATTGTGTCTTGTGAATCTTTCTTTCGAACCAACACGTATCCATTGTATCTCCTTGAAATCAAGACATTTACGTTATGTACAATAAAAAAAATCAAAATGTTTCGTCTACAGATTGTATTTACTCATCCTGTTCATGGAGTGAAAAGAGAGCAGTTTATATTACAAGCCTAAAGAACGCACACTTGTTTTAAAAATTTCAATCCAAAGATTCACTTCAGTAAATATGATTGTAAACTGACAAAAAAAAACCCAAAAGAACAAACTTGAACTCGAGATTCAAGTTTGATTTTCGCAAAGACCCAAACTGGGGAATGTGAAACATTACTAACAATAAAATAATACAATAAAATGCAGTGAATCGTGAACAAGTATATACATTATATACGTGAATATTTAGGTGTTTCAGGATGAATATCTAGAATATATTTATTACATCTTGTTACAACTGATAATATGATTTTACAAAATATGCTACTTTAAAAAAAAAATGATATATATTACTTTTAACTACGCACAGTTTGAAACATTTACAAAATTTTATTTGGTAGTAAAATTATGAGGTAATATATGTTGCTTCTCAAAGGATTAGAAATGTACATTGTAATAAGTAGTGGTCTCATCCCATAAAGACTTGGAAACTTTTCGTATTAAATAATATATAAAAAAAGGTATTGGTATTTGTAAGGATATGAACTCGTATGACGTAAGTTTCAATAAATTGGCTGATTTCAGTACTGTTTATAACATCAAAACCACATTCACAAGGAAAACTGATCTTTTATGCCAGTTCTACTTCCCTCAGTAAACCTCCCCAATCATTAAATTCGGGAAACTGTATACGTACATCACTTTCTTGTATGGACAAAACTTCACCCACACTTCGATGTGAGACACAGCCCCACCCACGATGCGGGTGTTTTACACTGGGCTTCACTCGAACTCTATCTCCTACTTTTATAGAAGTATTTACTGTGTCAGCTTCTTTAACAGTGATATTTGGTTTAACAAAATTTATATTTCCAATTAGTTTTTCTGCTTCGGGTTTCGTGGAAACAGGGTGAAATTGAATACTTGATGGGATCGTTGTCTCCGCACTAACGCGAGAAATCGACTTGAAAGTCTTTGTTATATCACTTAATGAATCCAATAGAATAACATTATTTTTTTCAGTGATTGAGTTTTTCACTTTATTCAGAACTGCTTGGTCATTTTCAGTTGCCTTTTCAATCTTCAAAATTTCTTGCTTCAACTTCCGTGATTCTTTTATTTTTTGTTTTTCAATTGAATTGAAATATGCATCTTGTGTGTCATAGAGGGCATTAATAATAACAGCCATCCTTTCAACAATATCCCTTTTAGCCTTGTCTGCCTCATCTTCATGAATTTTGAGAGTCATGTTTGAAGATATGATTTTCTCCTTAGCCCTCCTGATACTGTTTTCAGCAGCTAACAAATATGTATCCAAAAATAACCGGGCTTTTGAGGCTGCAGCATCTATGAGACAGAAATCATGTTTATTATGTGTGATCGGCAAACAAATGTTACAGGTCAGTGATGCACAAGTATTGCAGTAATAAGTAAACTTTTCTCCGTGTTTTTTACAGATTGGTGCTTTTACTTCCGAATTGGCGATGTCGGAATCTTCAAAGACATGATTCCTGCAGGGTTTAGTTTTTAAATGCGATATTTCACATGACTTACAGAAAAACTGTTCACAGTCTATGCAGTATCTACTTCCCGGAGAATTCTCACAGATTTCACATGATCTAAGTGGACATTGCGCCATATTGATTTTATCTGAAGGAAGAAGTGACACGTATCAAGATAACAAGCTATAACATGTCACGGTCGTTTTCGCGTTATCAAAGACAGTGTTTTGATTGAATATTGATATGTGTACGAGTATTGAAAAGGAAGAAAGACCCATATTTGTTTGTTTTCATTAATATTTGACATAATATATATATATATATGTGTTATTAAACTTAAAATGACAGTAGGCTAATACTTGAAAGTAATGAAGTTTGTGTAAGGGACGACATCAAAAGTTCAATGAAGGATAAAAAACTTAATTCATATAGTTTTTTCACTGTCCCTCCCACCCCCCCCCCCCCCTCTTAACTTAATTTGAGAAAAATTGATTGACCAATATGGATATATATAAAATCGATTTTGGATAAACAAAATTGCATCAATTGTAACCCCCACCCACCCCCAAATTATTTGATTTAAGTTTTTTATCCTACATTGATCTTTTGATGTCGTCCCTAAGAGCCTTCATCAAGTGCTACCATTATCCTTCTGATACCATTCAGCCTTTTTGTTTTGTTTTATAAATTACTATCAAATGTATCACCCCGATCTACTTTTCTATTTAATCTACTAGTAAGCAAAGATGATTGATTTATGGTGTTTGCTTAACGTCACAGCGGTAAATATTTCTTACGTAATCAGGACGACTCTAAAATATGCAAATAACGATTATTTATTGATTTTTAGTTTTCTCACTTTCAAAAAGTAAACAGATAATTAAATGAATAAATAGATAAATAATAATAATCATCAGTTATGTTATCAAATGTTAACAAGCTTGGCACCAATTAACCAAATGCCAACATCAAAAGTTTTTAAGTAACAATTAAAACTCGGCATGTATTTCAGTTCTAGTTTGTGAAATAAATCAATCAAATCTTCAGCACTTTTCTCTGATTCATCCGTTCATAGACTGATAAACACTCTTTACACACCCTTTAAGGGGATACAAAATGTTGTTGAGCAAAAAACACACAGGGTGAATAAATTAACTTGGTTCAATATATAGGGATTTTCAATTGGTGGTGTCACACCTATATTCCTTTTGTCATGAAATTAATTAAGCTAGTATTATAAAATTGATTTTTATTTAATAGTTATTTTTCTGAATTTTTATTCTTTAATCTCACATTATCTATCTACATTGTTACTTGAACTTGGAGTTATTAGCCAAAGGCTCAAAATAGCAAATTTACTCGCCCATCAACTGGGAGAAGAACTTCACTTTACTGATGTATGTAGTTTATGACCAAGCCAGAAAATGGGTAAAGCGCAAGCCAGATTAACCAAAAGTTGACACTTTATCTGAATTGATCAAAGCCGTTCTGTCATGCATTTAGAAGCGCATTTATATAATCTACGACGAACAGTGGGCACATGGGTTTCTAACTCTTTCAAGAAACCCGAGGTTGTGGATGCTTTATCTCCTCTTCACGAAAGATACGTTGTTTTTCCAGCAGACGAAGCCTCTATCATTTTGTTTTATGTGCTTAAATTAATATCTGGAATGTCTAACGTTAGAACTAGGTATTCACAGCAACATATGAAATCCCACATATACCCCTTCATTATTCACGAAAGACGAGATTTCAGAAAGAGACTTGACAAAGATCATTACAAAGAACAATATATATCCGGGTCGTTAACATCTTTCTAAAGTTCTTGCAATTATGTCTCTCTCAACTCACTAGCGACAAGTATTTGCAGGTCTTTAGATACCAGAATAAACGTCTCATGTGAGTCGTCTAATCTGTAATTTTACGGATTGTGTACTTTTCCGGATTGTGAAAATTTGACTGAGTGTGAACTCGCGGGCGTTTGATTCATACATTGCAGGAGACGCTTACCGTGTCGATGCACTCGGTTTCCTTCCTTTTGGAGTTTATGCGATTCAGTAAGTTTGTGTTTGTTACCTTGATATATCTCCTATTCCATTTATGAGGTTTAAAAAAATATAAACTACTGTTGCCTTAATTTTGAACCCTTACTAGAAGAAAGTATTGCAATAGATTAGAACAGGTGTCGAGAATGACAGTGGGAAATGCTCTTCTTTTCTATATTCCCCCAAATCACCCTACCAACATAAGAAAAGTGTGGATACCAAATTACTTTGTGAATGCTAGCTTTAGGACTAATGTGTATGCTAATTAATTCAATCTGGCAGTTGCAGAAACCACACAAGTCTCCTTATTTAGTATTAAAATTATTATTGAGGGTTTGTCTTCTGGGGACACATTTGGCAAGTATAAAAATACCGAACTATCAGCTTCAAACACCCGATTTGTTATGATTTTTATTTCAGTATCATGCTTAAATAAATATAGATGGTAACAGTTGTAAACTTGCACGTAATACAGTATACCTTACAAATATATTTTATTATAATATATATTTTATACGAGTTTCTTATACTATGTTCCTAATTTTGTCATTTTTTTAAAGGGAGACGGATTTATATAAGTTATTCTTGTTTCCGAATCCCAGAATTTATATTGTATAATTGTATTTTGTGCACTTTTGAAAATAAAATATTGTTTAAACTAAATATATTGGATTTAAGTCGCTTCAATTTTAACAAAAATTAAAACAACACTTTATAAACTTCATGCGTCCAAGCGCTTTTCTGGTTTTACCTTCATCAGGAACGCTCAAAGCCGAATATTTGAAATCAGTTAAAGAGCTATATGACTACTGAGCTGATGATATCCACGAAGACTGATAATCCACCAGAAGCGGTATCGACCCAGTGCTGTAAAAAATGAAAACAACACTTTATGAATTTCATGAGTCATAATAACCCATTCTTTAATTGGATGCCATAAAACAAAATGGATAAGTCGTAACAAACAGCTGCATGGTGGTCGTTTTAATTTTTGTTATTTCATTCATATCAAAATGACGTTGATTTAAACTGCATGTACAGAGATAATTAATTTTATCAGATACCTCATTATCTTGTGGCATTAATTTAATATCCATAGTAGATTTATTGGAAATTCTGGAAATCTGGTTGATCCATGAATTCTACCGGCATTTCTCCGGCTTCGTATTGACATTCGATAACTTCTGCTTCAGGTAGGTATTCTACATCAAAACCTAAACCAGAATTTGGATTTACAAAGTTCAAATTTCCAATCAGATTATGAGCGTTGGGTTTCCCTGAATATGGAAAAAAGTGGACCCGCGCTGGTAACTCAGTACCCATACTAACTAGAGAAGCTGACTTTAAAGTTTTTGTCATGTTACTAACGGCATCCATCAGAATGATATTATTTTGTCCATCTATCGAGCTTTTCATTCTATCCAAAATTTCTAAGCCATTTTCAGTCGCCTTTTCGATTTTCATAATTTCTTGGTTCATCTTCCGGATTTCTTTCATTCTGTGTTCCTCAACTGATTTCAAGTAATTTTCTTTTGTGGCATCAAGATCATTTATGATTACAGCCATTCTTTCCACAATATCCATTTTAACCTTGTCTGTTTCATCTTCAAAGTTTTTGAGGGTCAATCGAGAAGAAATGAATTGCTGTTTAGCTCTGCTGATGATGCCTTCAACTGATTTGACCTCTTTGTCTAAGCGTGGTCGCGTTTTTGAAGCAGCCTCATCTATCAGGCAGAAGTCGTGCTTTTTATGTGTGGTCGGCAAACAAATGTTACAAAGCAATGATGTACAAGTATTACAGTAAAAGGTAAACTTTTCCTGGTGTTGTTCACAAATGGGTGTTTTTACTTCCGCATTGGCGTTTTCGGCATCTTGAAAAACATGATTCCTACACGGTTTAGATTTCAAATGTGATAATTCACATGTCTTACAGAAAAATTGTTCACAGTCCATGCAAAACCTTCTTCCTGGAGAACTCTCACAAATTTCACAGGATCTAACTGAACACTGTGCCATATTTATATTATCTGATTGAATTGAAGTAGGCTATATATATGAAAATAAATATGTCACGGCCGTTTTTCGGATAAGGCGAAGTATATATATTACGTAATAAAGCGGTATACCTGATATCTATGAAATTGTGAATGCATTTAAACTCGCTGAACTGCATCTAAATATCCTTTCTATTTGTATTAATCATTTTTGAAGGCCTCAGGGAAGATTAAAATGTCATTGTTAAATGAGTTACCTTCGTTAAATAAAGAACTTTATTATTATTATCATTATCGAAAAATAATTTATGTATATCCTGTACTTCCAAATTAAGATGCAATCATTCAATAATTTATATACAAAAGATAGATTTACAAGAATAGTAAGTACGTTTAACATGTTTAGTTCTGCGAGAAAAAAGATCTTTTATTTTCAGTTGTGTTTTCTAGAAATTTCGTCCACGGTATTAGTTTTTAAAAGATACCTTTAGCTGTGTACACGTCCGTTTAAATGGAATGCTAAAATTTTAAGGGCCATCGTTATGATTTTTACTGTCTTAATCATTCAATCTTGAGAGATGTTTCTGAAGCTTCATACTGTTTCCAGTCTTATTAAATAATGCTTATAGCATAATCGCTTGATTGATTGCGTCCGGTGCATATTCAGGCCACTTTACAAATAAATGTCAAAAGTGTTATACTATTTAAAAGTATAAAATAAATCAATAGTACCAAAATTAATAAATGCAAATCAACGGCACAGTTATTCATAATGTTAACTTGCATTGTTTTGATACATACCAACAGTAAAGGTATTAGCTTTACTTGTAATAAATCTCGGGTGTCTATTTCATGTTTTTTCTTCTATGTTATCAATTAATTTCTGCTGCACATTTCATGGTTTCCTCCGTTCATAGGCAGAAGAACACTTTGATTTGTACAGGTTGACAAACCGACAAGTATTTATAATCTAATAATTATTAAGCATTTTCACAGTAGTTATTTTCGAGGATCACCATACATAAGAAGATGTGGTATGATTGCCAATGAGACAAATCTCCACAAGAGGCCAAATGACACAGAAATGAACAACTGTTGGTCACCGTACGGGCTTCAACAATGACTAAAACCCATACCGCATAGTCAGCTATAAAAGGCCGTCCGTTTGTCCCAGTGATGTTTAGTGCCAGATAATTGGGTTATCGAACGAAACATATTGTTATCATAGACGTTCTTGATTCATATGCAAATGGTTGATTGTGGACCTTCAGTATCGATTATTTAGTGGCCCAGTTAAACGAGTCTCGAACGAATATGATATATATATATTTATCCTTACTGTTTAAGTCCCAGGACTGATAAAATATCTCTATTTTCTTTCGATTTTAACTTAATCATGACGTATGGTTCGAAATAATTTAGACATCTTGTTTTAAACATATATAATATATAAAAGTTTAAGTCATGCTTTCAAACTATATGCGCCAACTTCATCAAATTTTGTGGATTTTTTTTTAATCTTGTTTTTGGGACATGATTCTTTGAACTAGAAAAGAAAGGATGTCGTGTATCAACTCAAGACACAAAATCATTGTATCGCGCACATGGAAAAAATATAATCATAAGACTATCGTTTCAATTGTTCTTTTTAATCTCACAATCACAGCAAAGCGGCAACATGGAGCAAAAACTCACCTATATACAACATTGTACCCGTTCAATGGTCAGCTGCAATTTATATTACTATCTAAATTTTGGTAAAAGGAAGATAACTCTAATTAGAACTGTTCCATCGCCCATTTCAAATACCTTCCTCTTACATGTGTGTAAAATATGAAGTACAAGTTAACTTTCTTCTTTAGAACACTTTAACATTTGTATTTATTATGTAAAAAAAAATCCGTTTTCCATGCAGACTTAATTTGAGTATGGCGATTTTTATTTTAGAGCAAAGATTGTCAGGACGAGCTAAGTACTGCTATTATAATTTTGTTACCGCTGATGCTGAAGATAACTATTATATGTTACTATGTTCTGTAGTGGATACTCGTAGTTGTTGTCCAAATTTAATGTTATATTGAAAGATCAATTTAAGTTTTTATACTTTAAGTAAAATTATTAGCTTCTTCTTGACGACATTCAATACAGATGGAATATAACTCGTTAACACAGTTTTCGGGTTATGATTAAAATTTATGCATGGAACAATCTAGTACTATTGTTGAAGATTCTATATGTAAGAGAGTCTGGGTGGGGTTTACAGAATAGAGAATAATGGGCACACAATGCAGAAAAAATGGCAATTATTATAAAGAATAGAGAAAATTAGGTAAACAAATAAGGAATATAGAATAATGGGTTCCTAAAATATAGAGAATAGAGATTAATGGGCAAAACATTAAAGAGTAGAGAATAACGGGCAAAAAAAAAAATAAAGAATAAAAAAAATGGCCTAAAATATTAAAGAATACAGAAATTATGGACCCCATCCAGACCCCCATGTAACTTGTTGACTGTTGTTTTTTTTTTTTTTTGTGCTATTGTTTTTTGTTGTTGTAGTTTTACTTAAAACTAATTTTGTTTCCTGAAAGTTACAAAATGGACCAGACACAAGCACATCGTATTAATCAAATTTTCTCCTTATTAATGTTGTTGGGTTGGTGTCTCATTGACGATTACTCTACGTCTCCTTTTATTCAGATATCTAAATATACCGAATTCCAGACAAATATTACAAGCTAAATTCGTAAACTGAACCGATCTATTCTGAATAGTCATGAGACCTCTTCTATGGGACGTTCAACAAACAACAACAAACAACAACAATTAATAAATCGCCAACCAATTTTTTTAATGGGTGAACGTTTAACGTCTAGTGGCAAATATTTCTTGCATAGTTAAAACGCGAACATAATAATGTGAAATTAATACGAAATTCTTTATGTGCCTATCCCAAGTTTGGGGCCTGTAATTCAGTGGTTGTCGATGGTGCTGTCTGTTGTCTGTTGTCCTTAGTTTATTGTTTTGTAAATAAACCAGGCCGTTGGTTTTCTCGTTTATATTGTTTTTCATTTTGTCATTTTGTTTTGTTGCCTTTTATAGCTAACTATACGGTATAGGCTTTTCTCGTTGTTGAAGATCTTACGGTGGTCCTTAGTTGCGTTCATCCACGTCATTTTGGTATCTGGTGGATAGATGTCTCATTGACAAGCATACCGCATCTTCTTATTCTTATACATTATTCTGTTTTCGTCATATTATCCTTACATACACGTTCTTTTAAGAAAAAATCCTTTATTTTATCAAAATCTTTAAAAATGGTCTCTATAAAATAACAAGCAGATTTGGTATTGTTGCCAATGAGACAACTCTCCACCAGAGACCAAATGACATAGAAGTTAACAACTATTGGTAACCGTACGGCCTTCAACAATGAGAAAAACCCATACCGCATGGTCGGCTTTAAATGGCACGAAAAGGAAAATGTAAAACAATTTAAAAACGAAAACTAACGGCCTGGTTTATGTGCAAAACAATGATAAAAAAACAAATATAATATACAGCAAGAAACGACAACCACTGAATTACAGGCTCCTGACTTGGGACAGGCACATATAGAATAGGGTAAAACATGTTTGAGGGGTCTAACCCTCCCCCTAACATGGGATAGTGGTGTAACAGCACAACATATGAACAAACTATAAAAATCAATGAAAAAGGACTGAACTCTTCAGATCGATACAAAGCAGAAAAACAAGTAACAAAAACACAGTTACTGACAGCTAGTTTAAAGCCAATAACAACTAATAAAAAAATCATGTATCTAAGACTAAAGTACCAATCAGTACACATCCAACATCCAATGGATTTGGTGTAAAGGCGTCATTAACAGTCAGAGAAAAACACGACCTTGTGCAATGCCAAAATACAGGTATCGACAGATTGAAGAACCGTGAATGTGCATATATGTATATGTGTATAACAATAATATAAGTTTGGTTTTAATTTGCTGATAAAACAAATCAATATTCATACCAATAAAAACAATATTCAAAGATCTAATTACATTGTTGAATTGGTAACCCTTTAGAATAAGATTATTTAAAGGATCGATTATTTTACCCAGATCGTATCTAAATTTCCGGGCTTGGTAAACAACATCTACGTAAAAATTAGGATGTGCTATCCCGTTTGAAATAAGTTTTCTACATGTACAGCCAAACTTCCAAACCAAATAGTTGTACCTAATTAAGTAACGGATTTAAGTCATTTGTGGTAACGAAATCCTTGACTTAATAATTTACCAGGCAGTAATACATGGATTACGTTCATTGAAATCCAAACGTCACAACAGACACGGGCATAGCGAACGAGTTGTGATATATAGGGAAAATTAACAATAGGGAAAGAAAAATCGTCCCTTTTGTCCTAAAGTGTTTTGTAGAGTTTCTCGTGTAAAACTGAAATATCTAAATCTATCTAGGAAAGGATAGTTATTGCTGTTAATATTAGATTTATTGAAAGTAAGTTCCTTTGGGTAAATTTTGGCAGTATATTTAGAAAATTCTTGATTATTTAACGAAAACAAATTATCATCAAGATAACGAAAGTGTTGTTGAATTTATCAATTAAATGCAGGTTAGACGGGTCTTTACTGAGTTTGGTCATAAACAATGGTTCATAACAGTACAAGAACAAGTCTGCTATTAAAGGGCGCAATTGATGCCCATAGGAATACCTACAACCTGCCGATACACTTTATGGCCGAGACGTACATAAATGTTATCAAGGAGAAAATTAACCGCTTTAATCATCGCATCATACCTCCATTAAGTATATCTAGCATATTTACTTTTCTCATTAGAGAAGAAGGCTTTAAATGAGTTGCAGCAAATATATTTGCAATCAGATTTTTCAAACGACCGTTCAATTTTAGGAAAAATAGTTAATTCCGCTATTTTCATATGTTTTATTACAATAGTTAATGAGAAGTTTTTTGATAGTAGTTAAGGAACTAGTTAAAAGCACTGAAAGATAAGTTGTAAAA